AGATGACATCTTATTGGAACGAGGATCCTTTGATGAGACCTTCGTTTGCTGACATCGTAGATCAGCCAAAATAATTATAGCGAGAAGTAAATGTGGGTGAAATCGAATTTAGGCAATTCCATGGCTCTTCCTTCCATTCTTTCCGATTTCTATCAGTTAAGTAATAAATTTATTCGACTCGATAAGATAAATTACACAATGAAATCTTCAAAGGTTCAAATGAGCAAAATTGCATTAATTTAGAGAAGAGTCACATGAGATCAACAAAGCGGCGACAAATATTGAAACACCCTCCATTGTCCAATTGGCGTATTTATTATACTGATATCCAAATTTCTTAACATAAGTAAAAGCATTGTTGAGATAAAAGGTAGGTCAGATTATAATGGTTCAAACGGTGTACCACTGCTTGCCTAGTCAGCAGTCTCTCATTAATTTTTTGATACTTCTTTTCTTTTTTATCTGCTGCCTTGTTCCAGTTATCTTCATTATCTGCTGTTATTATGATTATCATATATTTTTTTTCCATTACTAAGCTTCACTCGTGCATCTAACCTGAAATATTATCTTCTCTTTGATTAATCGATTTCAGAGGACATATACTAACATCACAGAGGATGAAATAAGTGGGAGATTTGAAGTGAACTAGAGCCAAAGCATGCTTATGTAGAAAGCTTATGTTCATAGCCCGAGCATAATTTCAGTTCACATCGACAAATCGTCCTACAATCTAAAACTAACTTCAGTTGTGACAGGTTCGGTTTGTTACACTGTAATTATTTGCTAAGCGACAGCGCTTAGAATCATAGGATCTTAGTCACAATCATACAATCATAGAATCTTTCGTTTTGTAGAATTTACAGACTACGTTGTTAAAGAAAGATCTTACTCGTTGTGTTGAGAAATACAAAGAAGCAAATAAATTCTGATTTCCCCAAAAAGGAATCAAGATCCAACCTTCTGATTGTGTGTTTTTAATGGAACTCATTACAGGTTAATATTTTTTTCTTGTTTTTTGTTTGTTTGTTTTTTTAATGAGAAACAGCTCCCTTACTTACCGGAGTTTATTCTTTATAGACCCTGTTTATTGCCTGTCCCTGTGATTTTCAAAGTTTTTATTTCACTTTAATTTATTTTTATTTCTTGAGCTTTTTAGCCTTTTCCCTTAGGAAACTCAGTCAATACCATGCTTTATTGCAGTATTTTTTTCCTTATTAAAACTGTTTTTCCGTGCTACAAGCAAAGTATCGTACCATGATATCACTCTTTTTGTTATTACCCTGATTGTGTATTTTTTTTTTTTTGAGAATAAAAACTTGTACAAAAAAACATTTTACTCAAAGTTTCCAAAATTGTATAATATTACAATTAGAAATGCGCTGGTTTGGTGTGATAAATAAACAATAGCCTCCATTTAGTGCAAAAATATGCTTGGGTATTTGTCCGCAGACATTATCTGTTCGGAGATGCTAACAGTTTTCCCAGAGCGAAGCTCGAGGAATACTGTGAGCTTCGAGGAACAGATAATATCCGAGGAAAAATATACGAGCATACTTTCAGGCAAAATGGAGGCTACTGTTTTTATTACCCTTCAATTAGCTTTTGCAACGTGCGGCTGAAATGTTTACGAGTATCTTACTGTTTGTGATAGTGTGGTCTGATCGTCCGGTTGAGAGTAGTTCTAAGGAGAACTGTGAACTGTTGTCGGTAGTGGTGACTGACGTTTCGACTACCTTTACACGATCTTGTACATTTTATATGAAATATTTTCCTGGGTATTCCGACTTGATCTTCATTTCAGCTTTGTTACTGGGTGCAGACACTCTGGGTCGTCTTTATCCACTGTTGAAAACTGGGGGTGGTTGTTGCTATCAAAAGAATCGTTAGCATCTCCTTCAGAGAGAGAGAGAGAGAGAGAGAGAGAGAGAGAGAGAGAGAGAGAGAGAGAGAGAGAGAGAGAGAGAGAGAGAGAGAGAGAGAGAGAGAGAGAGAGAGAGAGAGAGAGAGAGAGAGAGAGAGAGAGAAAGGACAAATATATGATCAAAGTGATTTAATATTATTATTTATGGAACGCTTTCCTCATAAATGTTCAAAAGCGCTTTACAGAGTGTGCGTTTGAAATAAAATGATAAAACCAAAGACAGAATTTACCAGCTCATCACTAGGGTAAAAATTATAGGTTCTTAATCTAAATATTGAAATATAATAAGTTACCATAAAATATTGGCATAGGCCTGTCGAAATAGATACGTCATCATCACTGCGGAAGACGATTTTTTCCACCCATGCACGAGCACGCACGACCTTGGCGTGATGCGCAACCCGTGCGCGAAGTGGCAATAGCAGACACCGTCCTTAATTGAGAGAACACTGTGTTAATCTGTCAAACAAAGACGAAAGTATTCTATTAACTGCTAAATTCAAAGACTTTCGAGGCAGAAATCGAATGGATACGAAAACTTGTTCTCAAAAACTTTTAAACGTAATTATTACCATACCCTACCAAATATATAAAACTTGATCTATAATGGTTAATAGAGTGGGATGCAATTTTAAAATCACGTGTAAGATTTCACACCAAAATTGCTCGTCACTTAATTACAGCCCTTTCGAAATCGCTAAATTTATGCGCCCAAATACATAATTATGCAATAAAAATATGTTCTTGATCCAGGCTGAGCTTGTTTGTAAAAACAAAAGCAACTCACGAGTAGGCACTCATTATCGGCGCTTTGGCACGAAAATGTTTCCGCCTGCAGAAGTGAAAAATATTCACAAATAAAAATGCGACTTTGTGAGCATCAGAATGCAAAATATACACGGGGGAAGGGAAGAGTAAAAGTATACTCAACCTAAAAAAAGAGCTATAATAGTATTGTAGTCGCTAATTCACAATTTATTTCTAAGCTCCAAAACAATCGAGATCAGTTATATGATTTGAATATGTACGAGCCTTAGGGAATCCGCAGTAAGGTTAAATGAAAAACTACAACAACAACATGTCCGACTCATCTCTTTTTCACCCCGCTGTGCCTTATGGGAGGCACAGGCTTCCCAACACTAGAACAAGAAATGTCTTCCCTGAAAATGTTCAACAAAAGGTAACAACAAGTAGACTGGTATTTTGATGCGTCCGATCTTCTTGAGGATAACTTGAACATTTCAGAGGTACAGTTGAATAAAGGAGCTAAAGAACAATTCAATCTCTGAAAAGTGCTTTATCATTATGGTTACGGCTTGGTAAGATTTCAAATACCTTACGGCTCAGAAATCAGAGTAGGAATTTCGCTTTAGCTACCAGTAGATTTACCTCTTCGTTAAATGAAGCCTTTGCCGAGGTTTTTTTTCCTGTTTTGTTTGTTGATTTTACCGATAATTTCCGGTTCGCTAACGATATTTGAGTAAGGTCAAGAAATTGCATATGGTGTTTGCAATTCAATCCGCAAACGTTTTTGTCACGTGCAACCATACGTATATATATATATATATATATATATATATATATATATATATATATATAAACATATATTTGTATTCTTTCTATTTTGATTTTGGATTATAAAAAATATTTGATTAAATTCATCATTCATTCGATAGTTTTTCGTTTTAAATGAATTGTTCAACTTTCCCTATTTTACCTTAGTTTATTCAGATGTAGAGGATCAACAGTTGTTTACTACGTGTTGTATCTGTTTCCCGTTTTCTAGAAGTTCTGATCTATGCAGAAGTGTGTGAAAAACCCAGTTTGCATCTGGGAGAGTTCTTACAAAAATCATAGAGGCGCTGTTTATTAAAGCCTAATCTCGTCGATAACAAAAACGAGAAAAAAGCTTCGTGATCTCCGCTTGCTCAACCCACGCATTACAACTTTTTGCGGAATAATCAGTCCTTGAGAACGCTTTGAAGTTTACCGTTAAACTGACTAATCAAACAGGATAAGATGTGTTTTACTTCCTTGAATACTTCCTTGAATCGACCGTTCGCTTCCCTTAAGCATGAAGCGCTCGCCTACTAAGACTCAACCTTAGAAGCAGCTGGTGTTTCATATTGGGCCCTGACGAGTTTCACTTCCTTTTTTCTTTCCAAGGTTGAAGTTCTCGCCCCGCTATTTTGAACATGGGTAACGTCAAAACCAAATAGTTAATCCCATAAGAAAGACAAAACAACAATAACATTTGAAAGCGATCAACCTCTGTAAATTTAGTCTTAGGGATTTTAAGTTCAAATGATAATCAATATCATCATCATCATCATCATCATCATCATCATAGCTATGAAAAAATGCAATAACAGAGTTTGATTAAATTTATGAAGAATGTGAACGCATATATTCCGTTGCATTGTTGATCCTGATACTAAGTGTAGCGGATGAACTTAACTTCTTCTTTCCTTCTATTCATTACCTATAAAGAGGAAAATATTAAAGAAAACTCGCTTTACATCAAAGAACAATAGGCAAACCTGGCCTAGCAGGCTTCGTGCAACACGCTTTTCTAAAACTGCTGACTTAAACCTTCAAGGATAGATGTTTATTACAATGAAAGTGCATGAAAATGCGCAAAATTCGTTCAAGGCTGAAAAACTATTTAATAAATTGAAGTGAAACAAAATAATTTGTATTAACTCATTATATATGTATTCATGTTTAAAAACGAAACAGCGATGAATTTAAGGAGAAAAATGTTTATTTCTTGCACTAATTGCTGTAAATAGGGAAGATTAAAGGCGTGGGCTGTTTTCTTTCCTTCCTTTAGGCCTCCGCATGACGTTTCTGAAAAAAAAACACAACATCCTTGAACTTCTAAGTTAGAAGCGATTTAAATTTCAAAAAATTTCCTGCTCTACGAAAATAGGTCGTTAGCTCTGAACTGAAAAATGCACTTCCATAGGGCTACCATCGGGGAGTATAAATTCAGTTGACTGCTGCAGTTCTAGCTTATAACTTAGCATTCTCGCTTCTATTAGAAGTTCAAGTCTAAGTTGAATTTAACTTTCGTACAATGTCTCGTATTTTCCCATGTTCTTTCCGAATCTTTTTGTTCATCGCGTTGGTTTCTGAGAGTCAGACTTTGGCTCATCCCGTAACATCGTTTAAAGGTTTGTGCCAGGTTATTCTTTTTCCATACTCAAAATTTATTATTTTTCTTGAAGTGCAGTAAGCGAGGTTGACGTTATGGCGTCAATTCTCGTCCTGTGTTCAACTGAGTAGAGTTTCTGTGCAACCACGGTAATAGGGATTTTAATGTGTATGAACTTGGTTTTTTCTTTGGTTTTTTGTCTTATCATCATTCTCGTCATTAATATTCGAATGACTGCGTTTTTGTTTCTTAAGCTTAACATCTGGTTTTTGCCTGGATTAAAATCAACTTTAACTAGGTCATTTTTTATTGCTTTTTTTTTTCAGTTTAACTTATCATGTGAATCTTTCATTCAACAGCTAATTGTGCTGAGCTTTTTATGGCTGGTAATAGAACCAGTGGTGTCTATACGATTGATCCTGATGGTTTAGGTGCCTTTGATGTGTACTGTAACCAGAGCACGGCTGGTGGTGGATGGGCAGTGATCCAGAGGAGACTGGACGGATCTGTCGATTTTAATCGTACTTGGTGCGACTACAAGCATGGCTTTGGTAACAAGAGTGGTGAGCATTGGCTGGGCCTGGACAAGATAAACCGCCTCACTTGGAGAACAAAAAACAAGCTACGAGTAGATCTGGAATTTGAAACAAATCAGGCAATTTATAAACCTTACGCCGAATATGACTTGTTCGCAGTTGAATCGGAATTGAAAAATTATTCCTTGATCATTGGTAGGATGTCTTCGGGTAAGTTATTTGCTAGTTCATAATTACTATGATTAGTTTAAAGTGAAGGAAAAAATCAGTTCATAAGCTAGATGTTTTACATCGAAAATCACCCTTACTGAATTTTGAAGGGTATGTTACATCTTAAAAATAAGGCAATTGATGCAGTCGTGCACTTTGATCATCGGAGGGACTTCAAAATATATTTTTTTGTGGTAGGTCATAATTATTATGATCCATGGACTGAAGTTGTGTCTAAAGTAATAAATCAATAAACCAGCTAGACTTTGAGGCGAGGAGATATCGAATGGTTGAAAATGATGTGACAGTCGAATTGATGATTAAGGTGAAGGTGATAGGTACGATGTTGATAAGTTATATTCAGCGAACACAAACACTAGGATAAGGTCTTAATAAAGCCTTAACTGCTCATACGTAAGTAACAGACTGGAGACTGTGCAATTGGCAACTTGCCTTTAGATAGACAACCGATGTTTTTATTGGATGTTCACTTACCAAAAATTTTCTTGAAGCCCCTGTATGCCGCGTAAAGAAAGCCAATACGGATCATTATGTAGACCCTCAAGGATATCCGATAATATGAGACTTAAGATTAAAAAAAAAAAAAAAAAAAAAAAAAAAAAAAACTCTGAAAAGTGCTTTTAAACATTTATGAGAAAATAATTCTATAAATGATTATTATTTTATTAAATTACGTTAACCATATACTTTTTCTTTCTCTCTCTCCGTGAAGGAGATGCCAAGGATTCTTTTGATAGCAATAACCACGCCCAATTTTCAACAATAGATAAAATAAAAGGCAACCCAAACTGCACTAAAACACTTGGCGCTTGGTGGTTCTCAAACGATTCATGTACCTGTGGTAACTCGAACCTCAATGGAAACTACAACCAAAAGAATGGTTTGAGATGGGATAACTGGGGTGAAGACCCAGATGCACCCATCACCATCACCAAAGCTGAAATGAAGATCAAGCCGGATTGCCCAGGAGAATAATTTATGAAAACTTTACGAAACCGTGTTTGAAAAGTTAACAATAAAATGTATTTGCAATGTATTATTTAATTTTTGTGTAACTCACTGGGTGTGCGAAGTATGTTGAACCAAAGTGGCCTGAAAATTGTAAAAGACGTTTGTGGCTTCCTCTGCACCACAAACGCCACCTACAGTATCAAGTAAAGAACAACACATTCTTTTTCTGCTGGAGTTAAAGCAACCGTTGTCTTTATTCTTTTCACCGACGATTATTACGCTTTTGTTTTTTGTTTACTTTCGTTAACTGATCACATTTGTTTTCCGTGGGAAAATTGTATCGTTATTTGCGTTCCATAAGGTTTTCACTGTACGGTTTATATTTGTGAAATTTTGTAAAGTCTATTTCTTTGTTGTATCGTTTTCGTTCATGATGGCAATATATTTGTTTAGATTTTTATATGTGAGGCAAAATGAATTGTTTGTTGATCTCGTTACGTGACAGATTATCATATGTCACGCAGAGTGACAGGAACCTATGAAAAATTAAAATCCAGCAAATCCCTAGCGTTACCTGCCGTTTAATACGGGACCCTTTTTGTGTGGGACGTCGAAGAAATCAAAATTAGGATCAAAGTAGACTAAACGTAACTGGGCTGCGACACGCTGTAGAAAATGACGACAAGGAGTAACTTTATTTAACTCATTCCGGCTCAATGGCTTCATTGAGTTAGCCGGTCGGCCCCCTTTACACCAAATTGCAAAGGACAGTATTTCGAAAATATCTTCCAAGCGGAATAGCAAGGGCCTATAAAATATTTCTAAGGTAAGGAACTATTGATGTCAAAGCAAACATAAAAAGCTAGGTGCGGCTGCGACTCAAACAATGCTTTGCTTGTGTCATAGCAATGTTGATTTTATTCATTTCAATATGGCGCCATTTACAATTTTAGCAAAGTTTGGTTGGTTGGTATATCAAAACAGCAGAAGATACTAGAAAAATGAAACGATGTATTTGAAGACCCACTTTATAAGCCCTCGTGATTGCATTGCTGGAGATTTTGAGAGACCACCACATGCATTTTTGCCACACTACATAAGGCCGGGTTTGGCATGAATTAAAAATGACGAACACGTCCACTGGTAATTAACCCGTGGTTTCGTCAGGAAGGACACGATACCAAAAATATCACTATATCTTGGTTATGGAAGACCACATGTATATATTTATAGCTAGAGATGTCCTGCTGTTGCATTTTAGTTCATGCAAGGACCGCCTGAAAACTGCATAATTTAGAGCTCGCATGCACTCATTTTTGACCACGCAATTAGTAACGGTTTATTTCCGTTAAAATGAATATTTACACAAACTAGCCTCACTTCGCTTTAAGTAGTACCTATAGCTACCTGTAGACAAAAAATGGGACGAAACGATTTTTTTTTACCATTTCCGCGATTTTTTTATTTTTCTTTGATTTTTAGGGACATTCACTCTTAAACCTTTAAAATTAGTGAAGAATGAAAGAATCAATAATGATACTAGGTGATATCTGAAGCAGCGATATCACGGCAGTGTCTGCGTCTTTTCCTCAGTTTTTCGGAACAAATCGAAATTGAAAACAATCAGAAAGTTGCCACAGAGAGGCACTGTATAGAGAGAGAGAGAGTTTGTAGAATACGAGAATTAAAGGGAAAGAAAGAGAGAGAGTTTGTAGAAATAATATCATAGAAACACGAAGAATGCGTGGAACTGTTGTTGGCAATTATTTCCAAACTAGAACCTTTGCATGTTCTCCGATATGGTGGAATTCATTTGACTAAACACTTGTTAACTATCAGGCAACTGGTAAACCAAGGGAGGTTGAGATTTTATTGGAATCTGGTGCACTCAATTTAAAAAAAAGACAAAGTGGCACCACAGAAATTATAGAAATTAACGAAAAAAGAGAAATTTTTATGATAGACCATATTAATGAGTTAAAACTCATCGTAGTAAATAGACACCCCACAATAATGGGTTTCGTCAAATTTTTTGTTCGTCCCCTACTTGTTCGCCCTCATCTCAACAATTGAACAATTTAAAGGAGTTATTTTCCTTATTTCTATGTAAGGTCCTGTCAAAAAAAAAAACTTTTAAATGTATTTAGAAAAGCATTTTATTTAGGTGGCTGTTCCTACCCTGTTAAACTAATCCTGCTCCTTGTGAATATTTCATATCTTTTTTCCAATTGGCAATCCCATTTGCAGGCCTCCGGATACACCTCGAGACATTTCTCAACAGTTCACGATGATGGGTGACTTTTGGCTGGGAGAAGCAACAAAGTGGATGTTGCTATTGACTCTTGCTGGCAATTTATGGAATCCTCCGTTTGTCAGCAGCGAAACGTGCAATTCTAAAATCAGAAGTAAGTAGTGAAACCCCATGGTACGAAGAGTATGGCCTATCCTTTTCAACTTTTTTTTTCTCATCTTTGTCCTCCTCGGTTGGAATAGAGATAGAGAACCAAATTTTATTAATATTTTTTTAACCAACTAGTTTTCTCTCTTGTACAGTAAGACCCGTTGTCGACATCTCTTCAAGTCCAGAAAATGTCAGTTTAGCCGTTGGTGCCTCCATAACTCTGACTTGTAAAGCAGAGCCGAGAGCTATAGATACAGGTTATTTGGATAGATGGGTCAAGTATATTCAGTGGTACAACCCAAATGGCACAGAAGTTGGAGCAAAATGCCAGCAGCCTTCAAACATATTTGCATATAAACGAAAATTCAGCTGTCCATTGGTGTTTAAAAATCTGACAGAAGACGAATTTGGCCACTATATTTGCCAAGCGGGCAATCGTTATAATAAACACTGCACAAGGCAATCATTTGCAATAGGTAAGTATTTTCATCATAACTAGTTTATTAATTTGTCTTTTTTAGTTCCTTTTTTGTTTATTTGTTTGTTTTTTTTACTTAAATAATGCGTGACGGTAAACACCCTACGCTGTTGTTTTAGAAAGGTGAGTATTGTGCATTGGGTCTCTCTCAAATCACAATGAACCTTACATCTCGATGAAAAAAAGTGTAAACAGTCCCGCCATCGGCCACTCTTATAAGCGGATGTTTCTACTTACGGACACTTTTTCTAATTCCTTTTTTGGCCTCCCAGTTTCTCGTAGACGGACGCAGACACTTTTGAAATTGAAAATGTGATTTTTTTGTTTACGCTTCGTCCGCGGGAAAGCAAGCTGTCGGAGGCAGACAATTCTATTAGCGGGCACTTTTTCCAATTCCCGAGGGTGTCCTCTAACGAGGGAGTTGATTGTATTTATACAAGTGCACACTTTTCCTCCAGGTTCTGCACCGGTTTTTTTGGAGGTTCCAAGGAATCAAAGTGTTTACATAGATTCCAATGTCACTTTCGATTGCAATGCTACTGGTCTTCCAAAGCCAAGCATCTCCTGGATCAAGAACGATGATTTTCATACCTTGCAATCCAACTCAAGTACAAAGGATAAGAAAAGCATCCACAGTGAGCTCTCCATAACGAAAGTGAAGAAGGAAGATTTTGGCGGATATAAATGCGTGGCAATTAACAGCGTTGGAAAAAAGGTATCATTATCGGCCTTCTTAAGCCTGAAAGGTGAGAAGAAAAACTTTCCATTTACGACTCCTCACAACTTTGAACTATTTACCAACAGTAGAGCGTCCTGTACGAGATATTAGGTCCTAAGTAGGTCAGTTTAACCCTGCTGGGAAATCCTCTCCCCTAGCTAAGCAACTTTCCGACTTTACTTGCGCTTATTATGACATAGATTAGACACCACTTTTAACATCTGATCTGGAGTAAGCGACTTACTCTTTAAGCAGCTTCATCGGCTAAGGAGTTTTTGTGTCGGAGACGAGAAGTTTGACCGCGAAAAGGAATGTTATCGAAATAATTTACAGCTAGATACTAAGACTGTGCGCTGATTTTCATTTTCTATTCAGTTTACCTTTTTCTGCCTTTTCGGTAAAATCATTCTTTTGAACCCACGTACGTTTCGGATTTCCCACTTTTTACAACACTACTCCTTTCTATTGAGTTTCCCTCGTAGTGTCGCTTCACCAGAATAAACATGTTTTGTGGTTACTCTGGTTACTATGATTACTACTAAGGTTATGCCTCTTGAGTCAACGCGAATGGAGAGAGCGTCACATTTGCTCCGCTTGCCCTACTATTACAGATCCTTTCTGAACATAGCATCCATTTCTTCTCACCTTTCAATAGTTTTTTTTTTTCGTTTCAATTACAGAAAAGCGGGAAGACCCAAAAACCCAAAGTAATTCAGTTGATTCCAACGGAATTTTCAGCCTCACTGCCACTTGTCATTCCAAGCCAAACAAGAGCAATGATTCAAATGTTTCAAAAACTAATTCAATGGTAAAGTTCATTGCAACTTCAGATGCCTCAAAATGCCATAGCATACTAAGCATAAAGCTTATCAACGAGAGGACGAACGAAGATGGAGGTACATATCAATGCCGAACATCTGGAAAGGGAAAGTCAAAATTGGCCTCTTTACACGCAAAGGAAGGCAAGTTCTTGAAATTATAGGAACAGTTTGAATATTCCTTTCGAAAAATATTTATTGATCTTGCTAAAATTTAAATGCAGGGCGTGTAATAAAACGTATAAACTCCCGTTCAAAACACTGTCAGTTAACATTTTCAAACTTCTTTCCCTACAGCTCACACGGTGGGACTGAGTCAGCAAGACTTAAATACATTCTTGTGATCACCTTGCCTCGATATTCTTTACGCATGCACGCTGTAATTGACTATCAAAGTGATATTGATAACACGATGTCATCTCATCCAGTGCGGTCAGTAATCATAATCGTGATTGGCAAATCGGACTTGCATTTCACGGTCGTCCAATTTGGTTAGTCACTCGTATGATCACAAACCTAATTGGACTGCGTACGGTCCTTTTTTAATCAGTACGACGAAAGATGTCAGCCATCAAAGTCTTTTCAGTTTTAGTTTGATTTTTCATCTTATCTCACAGAAATTACAGAAACAAGACTACAAGAAAGCTCAACTACTCAGATTGCGATAACAATCGCTGCATCTTGTGTGGTGGCAACCTTGCTTATCAATAGTATTTTGGGGCTTTTGTGGTACAAGCGATTTAAAGGTGGCAAAAAGGTGAATATTTGTGGTTTTTAGGGTTTTTTGTGTGTAGTTGTTTGTTTTTCCGTTCACGTTTACTTATTCTTTTTCATCTAGGAAACATGAATGTAGCAAAAATTTCCAAGCGTAAAAAATAAAATCTTCTCGTCCAGGTTCCATTATCTTCAATTCTTTAACGATGCATCCATAGTGCGTTTTAGTTCGACAAAGTATTCGTTTTGACTCACTTTTGCCCGTCATCTACACTAAAAAACTTGGAAACGCGAATGAAACGGCCAATTTCAAACTGGCCTCAAAGTGAAATTGATGACCCAATTGTTTTTAAAACGTTCCAATTCTTGAGTGGATAGGTGGAAACGAACGCTTTTGGAATTAAACTGTAATGATTTTAAATGTGGGTTTGGAAGCAACGATTTTACTGGAAATATATTTCCTTTTGTTGAGCTTACCTATAAGAACTAAAAAAAATCCCAAGGCACTGAAAAACGATACATTAACACTGTTCTGAAGTTCCTTATCGGTAATTTGTCTTTTCTCATTTGATAAACGTCAGTCGGAGGGACAGCGAAACGTCGTTAGGGTCCATATGAACAATGGCAGATACCCAACAGTCGTAATTGCGCAGGATACTGAAGAGCCCTTGTTGCTCTGAGCAAAGAACGCGGAAAGGGTCGACGAAAAGCTCCGGCTGTGTGCAGTGGGGAATCGTTTGGGTGACATGGAACTTTGATGGAACGAATTATAGACGATGCACACTGGCCACAGTATTAGTATTTTAACTAGTGTAGGTAATCAAATGATTTCGAGTGCAATTTTGAATAAATAAACACGAGTAAATATTTTCAAGGACTAACAAAATTGCATGAGCCCGTAGGGCGAGTGCAATTTGTGGTCTTTGAAAAAATTAACATTTGCTTATTTATTCCAAACTTCACGAGAAAAGTCATGTGATTACGTATTAATAATATACATGAAAAAATACGAGATAGCTTATCATAATTATGCAGAAGCAGAGCGCGCGCATCAAGTGTAAGAATAATTATTCAAGCCTGTGCATTCGGTCAAAACAGCCGCGCACGATGAAAACAGTAACATACAATGATATTTTCACATCTATAAGGCGCAAAAATGTTCAAGATCCGGCTAAACAGTCCAAGGAATTATTCAGTCTGTGTCCGAATCACTTTCGATGGAATGGAATCGTCGTTTGCAAGGTTTAATCATGTTTTTTTTTTTTAATTTTGGCGTAGAATCACTCGAGCTGGATCGGCTCGTAATTTTGATTTCCTTGGCGATTCCCTTCTCTAAACACCACTTTTTCCAAACCGACAACCAAAAAGCAGTGCTTTTTGTAGTGTCTTCGTTGTTAAAGCTGTTTTTCAGCAGTGGCGAAAGAAAATCTACTTAAAACGCTGACCATTGTTTCGCTCGTAAATTTCCATCGTAGCCAAATGTTGCGTCATCCAAGGCTCGCATTTTATTAGCTATCAGTGAGTATCTCTGATTATTGGTTTGTTACTTTCTTTGCACTGAATTAACCCTCTTCTGCATTGAATTACCTGAAAACTGCATTTATATTAACCAATCAGAACTGAGTAATTTTTTCATGTATATTTATTTAGTATTTAAATGTGGGTATTATTAGTATTGGATGTAGATAGATTCAATCATCAATTTCTTGTTTTAATTTAATCATGTATTTGTAGTTTCAATCCCGACGGTAATTTTCTATTACTTTTTACCTCTTAGACTTGACTAAGACACGACCACATCAGCTAGACTGTAATTTTTCGTGGATAAATAAGTACCTTCATTAGTGTTTAGCACTTATTTTACGAAGGCACGCCGAATATGATGTGATAATTGGGCGTAACACTCTAATAAGGAAACGTAACGTGAGGGCGTAATCTGGTCCCAAGACAAATAACTTCACAACATTATGTAGGCTCCGGGAAGATTTTCACCGACGAAAATAAGGGATATGAATCGAGGAAAGAGATGTCATTCGAGTAGCTTAAGAATACCTTGTCTGTTGGTCCTACGTCAGATTTGAGTCTTTCTATGATGTTCTTGGATGTCTGACGTTAGAAAATTTATTTACTTCTAATCAGACAGTTTCTTTCCATTATTTTCCGAAGTTCACAAAATGTTTTCAAGTCTGAAATTCAGTTAAGGTGGTTAAAAGGATTTGGAAGCTATTCTAAAATGATAAAACCTAAGCTAATGTAACTTAAGTCGATTTAAGGTTCAATTAAATTTGCTGGCTCGCAGGTCTGCTTGAGCTTAGTTGAATAAAGGTGGTAAAGTTCTAAGGAACCTGTGGTGCTGCGTCGGTGGGGATGTATGACAATATAATTTGGTTTTATTAATCGAGTTGATAATGTAGATGGCCACCGTAAAAAGTCTCTTTAGCCCCGTTAAAAAAGGCGAGATAGATGATGATAGTCTCAGCCGTTTGAACGAGCGGATGTTAGTGAGCCATATCTTTTTTCTTACCTCAGAGCGCGCCATATTTGTGTACAGTAACGCAATCTCATAGAGTGATTTTGTCGACTATCATTAACTTTCATAAAGCATTTGAATGCAAGCGTTATGGCTAATGAGCATAGGGTAACTTGGACCACTGGACTCTTTGTTTGGACTATTTTATGGACCATTTTTTGGATCATATTTTGAACCTTTTTTTTGGACTATTTTCGGACCATTTTATCGGGGGGGGGGGGGGAGGCAGACCATTAGTACTTAGGAAGGGGTGGAATGCATTCTATCAGAACTCAGGGAGGGGTGGTAGGCAGACTGTTGTTACTAACGGAGGGGTGGTGATTAGAACGCACGGAGGGGTGGGAGGTTGATGCATTAGTAACTGGTATTGATTGATGAAGTTTTCACTGGATCATACAAATTATTTTGAGCGGTTTTTCGACTGACTATTTTTATGACAAAAATTTTTCGATGGGCCGTAGCGTTTCTTAATTGTTTTGTCATGCGAATGCGAAACTGGCACCTAAACACTAAGCTATGATTGTCATTGAAAATATCGCCGATTCCCGTTTTCGATCCTCCACTGTTGAGTCATAAGTGTGTCTTTTAAGTCGACTTGTTCTAGCAAAATGTGTTACTGTTTCGTTTTATAAAAACATCGCACTCTTTCTTTTCATAGGGTTAATTCTCTTTGGTTTTCTACACAAATGGAGGCGCCACCGAGTGGTGTTCTACGCAGCTGCCTTTTGGCAGCAACTACATGATAGTTGATGATAGCCAATGATAGTGCTTGATAGTTTGTAATCAAACGCGAGTGATGTTGAAACTGTCATCAACTATCATGATCGTTGAACGGGGCTTTGGTTTCTTTCCTACAGTTGAGAGTTTCGATGGCTATCAGCCGTCGTTTACAGAACTAAAACTATTGGTTTTTTTGGGAGGTATTAATGACGGCATATATGGAGTCTGCATGCTTCTAAAATAATACTTTTAAGTGTCTTCCTAAATTTAATTTGCTAAATCTTACGCTCAGCATTGGCGAGAGTCCGTGGGAATACCCGGAGAACTACATACACAGGCTACGGTCATAAACAAAAATATGACAAGTATGCAGCGAAAACATGTACAGGCAACAGAGACTAGAGGAAAAAAAAGAGACCCAAAGTTTATTACAGGAAAGCTGTTTTCTGATAATTTCGAGCAATGTGTTCGAAGCGGAATCCTCGACCCTCGACCAAAAGCAAGCTTAATGCGGACGGCGCTCAACCGAGACACTTCCGTCTCTTGGAGGCCTCTTTTAAAACAAATGTTTTAAATGTTTTAAATGAGGTGTGAATAAGTTCCCTCAGATTTGAAAATTTCTCATGAAAAAATTAAAACATTTGCGAAATTATCTGAACTCTAACTCACGCGTGCAAAGTGAAGGGAATTTGTCGCTCACGTGTGCAGCTATCAGGACCTATGATAAACTATAATTGCATTCCGAGGATGCCAGAGCAAAGGTTGTGTTATTCTACTGCGAAACGATATCGTAAAAAGAAATTTCTCGAGTTAATTATAAGTGCCCTCGTGAGTCGCCAAGATCAGTTCAAATCTGTTTCACGTATCATATCAAACAACTAATTATCATTATAAATCTCTAAGATGATTTGATATCGGGGTCCTCAATCTGTTCTGTGCCATGCTAGAGATCCACGTAATGTCGATATTTTCATTTCTTTCTAGTATCGACCCGAACGTATCTTAAGGCACAAAAATGTTAGTTATGTTTGGTTGATTATTTTGACACATAACTTTTCGGTTGAACCCAGCGTCTTCTTAAGGGTCAATAAAAAATCCAGTCGATTTCTATCAATAAATAAGATAAGGGCCAGTTAAGTGCGATCATACAAATAGTCTTTGGCATGCCTTTCGATCATGTGGGCAAGTCTCTCATAAGCTGTCCTTTTCCAAAGAACTGAACCGTCATATATTTTTTCACGGCCCCAACGTGATCAAGTAGTAAAAGTCGTCCTGATTTAGATCAGCACTTAACTATATTCTCGTTAGTAGGGAGCTCGGCTATCTTTTAAACAAGGCACGGGGAATGGGGGAATAGGCAATGGGCAATGGGCAATGAGGAATCTTTAAAATGGGGAATCTTTAAAAGCGGGGAATCCTTAGAAGCGCGAATCTTTAAAATGGGAATCTTTAAAAGCAGGAATCTTTAAAATGGGTAATCTTTAAAAGCAGGAATAACCAAAACGTTGTAAAACGTTGTTTGTCAATACTTAACTATAGAGATGATGTCGATTCAGAGCATTTCAGTAAGTTTTAGCAATCTTTTATTCGACAAGTGTGGGTGTCGTTGGAAATTCAAGATTTCCCAACACCAACGTAATGACGATAATCAAATGAGAGAAAAATATGTGACCAATCTAACCTAGTCATCCCTCACCAAAAATAGATAGAAATCATAGAATGTCTGACGTGCAAATGAGTGAAAGAAAACCTACGATTTGTAAGTAATAAACACGACAGGAGCATTGGGTTACAATCTGTGTAGTAGGTGCTGATAAAGTCCTTATTTCATCACGGGAATACATGATAAAATAACAAAAATGTTCTGGAAAGTTCCACTCCTACGTTTCGAAAATGCTATGCTATGCAGGTTGGATTATAAAACCATTATTTCAAAGCTGTTTCGACATTACATGCCCGGAATTCGAAGGCCAGTCAAGGTAAGTGCCTTCTCCACACTAACCATGAATCCAATACATTACAGAGCTGACAAAAATAATCCCTCTAGTCCAGCTCTAAGTTGTTTCTATTTTTGCATTAGTGACTCGTCAGTTATATGTCAAGTTCGTATTTTGTTTGTTAGTCTGTAGTATGAGACCTAACATAGAATCTATGAAAATGGAGGCATGCCAAATTTTTCGAAATGGCATATGTAGTATATTTATAGCCGACTGATACCCCTCTCTTAAGTAAAAACGAGATTTCTGAGAAAAATCGGCATCGAAGCTAATTACAAACTGACAAGGCTGTCAGTACTTGTCCGGGAAAACATTGAGTTTATTAACTTTATCGAGGATCACTTCCTAGTCAGCTGGCTATTTATCATAATGTATGCAGTACTGATAAGAGGAGCGCTAGATTTGTCTCCCCATTTTGTCTAGGTCTTTGATTAAATTCTGGTGAGCCTTAGGGGAGCAAAGCTGAACTAACCACAATAGGCGAGAGGCACCAAAAAATATAGAACTTCTCTGCCGCTACGAGAAAACTGATGAAAGCACGAGGCCGCAGGCCCCGTGCTTTCATTGTTTCAAGTGTTTGGAAACCCTGATGAAACCCTATGCACGAGTTTTTGAAATAGCTTCTCGATCGCGCCTCAGGAATGAAAGGAAATTTTTCACATGTTGTCGGCAAGTTTGTAGTATTAATATTCAAATTAAGAAATCCGTTCACCAGTGTTTGATGCTTTATCCAACACAAGGGTTTGATATTATATGAAAGTCATGGATAGCGCGTCATTCCATTACTTCACCGGGGTTTCAAACCACATGCACGTGACGAAATTGGCGTGACTTGGTTAGATGATCACCTTATGAATAATTAATGAATTTTAGAAGCTTAATTCTTAAGACATGTAATTAAAGATTGACTCAGAGATAACTATTAACAGTCTGCATCAAAAACAATCGATGAATTGAGCTTGTACTTTTGGGAACTTGCTGTCAAGAGTCCAACAATAGCGACCAGAAAAACCATTACTTGAAAATAGACCAAAAAGACATCAAAAAAACTTTGCAATTTTCCGGCATAACATTCTTGAAGCACCGAGTAAATATAGTGAACTCACTATAACCAAGTAAGCTCACCATAATCATGTCAGAATAGTACATTTTCCTGTATTAAGCAGAAAGTCTTCATTTCAGGCCATTTAGGCAAGACTCGCAGGTACTTGTTAGCGTGTTATAATGGGACTTAATTCGTGGCGAGATGACACTTCTGAAGCTTTTCTGGTGGTCCTCATAGTCATGAGTGGTTTGATAAATCTCCCTGGAGCCACGGGCATGAACTGCAACTCTAAACTGACTAGTAAGTAGCAGAGGTATTATTGGTTTTGCTAAGACAAGTATTTCATCTTTTTGAGTTAAGAATGGCCGCTGACAATTTTTGTTATGTGCCATGGGATGTCTGAATGGTTTTATCTTCCCCCCTCCTCCAGTAATACCTGATGTACAGATTTCCACAAGTCCACCAAGGCAAGAACTATCTGTAGGTACAGCTGTTAACCTGACTTGTATGGCACAGCCCAGGAGTATTGATGCAGGGTATTACGATAGATGGACCGAGTATATTCAGTGGTACGGTCCACAGGACAAGCCAGTTGGACACAGATGTGTACAGGGTAGACAAATGGAGTTAAAACATATATGTACGTTGATGTTAAAAAATTTGACGGAAGAGCAACTCGGTAGCTACACGTGTGAAGCAGGAAATGGTTATCGTGCACATTGCAGAAGAAAATCAGTCGAAATTCGTCCGCGAGGTATGCAACATGAGAGGAATGTAAAATAGAAAAGAACGCTCGAGTGATGACTGGCCCAGTGAAAAAAGGGACACAAGAAAAACAACCCTATTAGCATTCCATCATGTTATGTTGTTGGAGTTTGAGCCTTCCTTCTAGGAGGGCCGTGAGCGCTATGTAACGGTTTCGTGAAAGTCTGCAAACCTTTCCTCAAACCCCTCACGGTTTTCAAAATGGTGAACTTTCGTGAGACACTCGAAACGTCTCTTGTAACCCGTCTCGACTCGTGTAATCTAGAGGTTAGAGGCATTTACATTTGGAAATAATTTATTTTTTACAAAAGATTATAATGATTCATCCTAAAAGTTTTATCTTTTTTTCCCGTAAAAAAGAGGTCGTAAAGGAAAGGTACACGCGGATCAAAGATATTTTTACGTATTGAAATAATTTTCCTCCTCATAAAATTTTCTTCAATGTCACAGAACTAAAAGAAGGGGAAGGCAAAGGATTTGAAGGCAAATTAAATTATGATGAGATGCACAAATTGTGAACGTCACAGTCTCCTTAGCATATTGAAGAAACAACTGCTGATCTGTCACCTGCTAAGTGCACTTAAAAATCCAAATAGCGAAGGCAGTTTTCCAGCCTTTTCATTCCCTTAGGCCAGTCTAGGCTTTTCTTCCTTGCTTCTTTTTTTTTTTTTCAAAGATGTTTTTGAACATACAGCCTTTGTGGCAACAAAGGCTGTATGCTGATTGCATCATTTTTATTCCTCAGACCCCCAGCCCGTTCAAAGTGTGAGAGATCCAAAGAACCAAAGCACTATTGACGATTTTACGGTAAATTTTACCTACACCACCAAAGATCGTCTCAAGCAAAACATCTCATGCGTGAGGGACAATGATCCGTATTATGGGCAATCCAATCAAAGGGCCAAGGATCGGTGGAACCTAAGTATCGTTATCGGCTCTGATTTAACTTTGAATTGTATTACCACTGGTCATCCCCCTGGTCACCCTCAGTCCGATATAAGGTGGACGAAGCACAACGGTTCATATGATGTCCAATCCAGGTTAAGGGCTAAGATCACCCGAGTTCGACGAGACCAAACCATTCACCACCAACTGTTTATAGCAAAAGTGAAGAAGGAAGATGGGGGCAAATATCAGTGCGTTGCAAGTAATATAGCTGGAGAAAAGGCATCCATCGAGGTCAACTTACATGTGAATGATTTAGGTAATTAAATGATGGATTTAGGTTTTAGGTGGCACAGAGGTCACTATCTTAAAAGTTTTAACCAAACATGCATGACTAAAAAGAATAGAGTAATTACAGAAACAATAGATGCAATCGTGACAGCCATTGTTGATTCAAAGTAGCTTCATTTCAGTATTAGGCACCACCAGAGTCTGGCTTAATCATCTTCATTGTGTATGAGGGCCTCAGTAAACTTCCTTCATAGACGCGCGTATATTTGTCCTTGAAAAAACCTAACGACTCGCCATCAGGGTCCTTTAGCCAGGCATGGGCAGTATTTCGAGATAAGACGTTCAACTCGGTGATTTAAAAAGAGCTACAAGGAAACGTTCAACCCGCACAAAAATCGTAATTTTGCTCCTTAAATGAGTTATTCCTCTTCGTTCTCCTTAGTATTCACGTCGTGGTTTACTGTGGTCCCTGTCCTAAAAAAAAAAGGCAACTTCCTGTACTTTGGAAGGAAGGAGAGTTATTTTAAAAGAAACCGTTTCCTTGATTTTCATTTACCTGAAGCGACTTTTAAACTCCCTCAAAAGAATATTTTTTTTAGAATACATAACTATGTGAACAAAGATTTTTATCCTTTTTCAGATCCTAGATCTGATTCACGTACGCTGACCAAAAGGACTGGTTTGCCAATTTTACAGCTGACTGTGATCGCTTTCGTAGTATCTGCATTTGTATTTGCAATTGGAGCATTTTTATTGGATCGACGTCTTGTGAAGGTACCGGTATTTTTAAAAGCTCTTTCCACTGTATATGAAGATGGCTCGTCAAGAACAAATTTGACGCTCGAGCCCGTGAAAATCTATTAGCTTGAAACAAAATTAAGAAAGATGGTGACGCATGATAACAAAAAACAATTTTTCTCGCTTTATATATCATATGCTTTGTATCTCTTTTAAATTCTACCGATAGTTTCGCTGAGTTTTATTTATTTGTCTACTTCTTTCGTTACTTTTTGCCTCTCACAGATTAGCAAGTCGATATCCATGAGTCTCCTCCGAAAGCCAGAGAGGCGTGGAGTTACTGCCTTTACATCTTACAGAGTATCTTGACTCTGACAACCGACCGAATAAGAGCAACCGTCACTCTTTCTTCACCAACCTGCAGAATAACCAAGCTAATAATTTGTTTCAACGGACAGAGTGTTGTGATTAGAATCAAATTAGAGCGAACAACGGACAGAGTAACCACGCTAATTAATTTAACAACGGACAGAGTATTGTGATTACAACCGACTAAATAAGAGCAAACAACGGACGGAAAAGCCAAGCTAATTATTTCTTACAACGGGCAATGTACCATGACTACTACCAACCGAATAAGGGAAGAGTAACTTCTTACTAACCGAGCGCGAGGGCCGCACTAAAGAATTTTGGATTTAAGTGGTTTGTTAACTTTCATGACCAAAAATACACGGCTTATGACCGTTTCCTTGGAAACAGTCCGTAGGGCAAATACGGACCGAGTGATAACCAATTAGAGGGCTCAGATTAATCCGGCCATGTAATAAAACTAGTTACTGGAGTGGTGTCCACATTTTAGCAAATATAAAATATGTACCAATTATTTTTACGGTTGAATGAAAAATGTGCGTACAGATGACAGTTCGTGACCGTGTAAGTCCCCATATCAAACCAGGTGATATTCCAATAACGGAAAGTTACGCAGTACTGTTTATTTATGACATACTCTGACTGAGTGATGTTCACAGTTGACCGAAACTTGCAAAAAAGTGACTGAGTTATATCTACAAAAGCCCAAAAAAGGTTTATTAAAAATGTAGGATCTCTTCGTATGTCAAGCGTGGATTTTACCGAGACTTGAAGTAAACAACGGCACCCTTTGAAATCTCACTGGTCCATTTTGCAATTTGTGACTACCATGAAAAACAAACCCAGCCGGATTCCTACGGGGTCTGCCTCAAAGACATCCCACATTATTATCAGCTAAAATAATAAAATAAAGGGGAAAACGTTTAGTCTTTAGTAACAACCATGATAAGGGCGACATCATCCTGTATTCTGCAAAATTATTTCATTCTAGACTTCAGCCCCTAAAGCACAGATAAATGGTCAATGATGTTAGGATTTGACACTTAATCACTTTAGACTACTTTCCTTACAATCATTTTCGCGTATTTTTTTCCCGTAATGTAAGGATTACTTCTAATCATTTTTTCTCAGTCTCGCGTCTAGATGCCAAAGATTTTACGGAAAATGTTTGAGTTCCTTGAATTCTTCCCCGCGCGCCTCATGTTATCAACATTTTATGTGATACTATGTCCTTGTCAATGCAACGGAAGATGATGAGCCGAGCCTATGATGTATTTATTCTTGCTGACTTAATGCTGAAACATTCCTATGCTAAGTCGGTCATTAAATATAGTTCGAGCAATCGCTCCGGTTCCTCTTCTGGAAACAATGGCGAAAATCATGCCCGACCCTATATGGAAGTTTAACTTGCGAATCAGCAAGCCAAGCAACATAAATTGATTTTTTTTATCAAGAAAATAAAAGTGAATTTTTTTTTAGCGAGAGAATACGGTGGCCCACAAGTGCACTCCGAATTCCAAACTTCACTCCCCGTTCTTAACCTCACACCGAATTCTTAAACTTCACTCTGAATTCTTGAACCTTACTCCCAATTCTTAAACCTCAATCCGAATTCTAAAAACTCACTCCGAATTATTGAACTTCAGAATTCGGAGTGTGTTTTTAGAATTCGGAGTGTGTTTTTAGAATTCGGAGTGTGTTTTTAGAATTCGGAGTGTGTTTTTAGAATTCGGAGTGTGTTTTTAGAATTCGGAGTGTGTTTTTAGAATTCGGAGTGTGTTTTTAGAATTCGGAGTGTGTTTTTAGAATTCGGAGTGTGTTTTTAGAATTCGGAGTGTGTTTTTAGAATTCGGAGTGAAGTTTAAGAATTCGGAGTGAGTTTTTAGAATTCGGAGTGAGGTTCAAGAATTGGGAGTGAGGTTCAAGAACTCGGAGTGAGGTTCAAGAATTCTCTGTGAGGTTTAGAATTGGGAGTTTAGTTTGGAATTTGGAGTGCACTTATGGGCCACCGTAACATAGCGTCACGAATTCAACGATCAACTTGAAACTTGAAACTTGAAACTTGCCGTAGGACGTGATATTCAAATACTCATGCTCATAAACTCTTTGAAACCAATGCTTTAATTGGTAACTTGTTAACCAGTGCGGTCTCACCTATTACACGCATGTAAGTAAAACGTGCTCATTAGCGTTTTATTCATAGCACAATACCAGAATGATGAAAAAGAAAGGAAATAACAAAGACGAGTCTATGGTGATGCTTTACATTGGAAGACTCGACAAGTGTAGAAGTGTATCTCGGGGTTTTCCGACTTGATAAGCTTCAACATGTTGAAAAAGACTCGCCTCTCAATGGCAATAACAAACACGCCGATCGAAGTGATCGTAAAATATAAAGGTTTTAGCCTGTTCCCTAACACAATAAATAAAATTTCAAACGCTACGCTCGGGCCCAGAAGAATCAGCTCGTCCATTGTCATTAAATTTCAATGTCACCTTATCTACCAAATAATACATGTTAAATAAAATTATGTTCATACGCAAACTGGTTTGATTTTCATCTCAGATTTTGTTGCGGATAAGTCAGGTTCATGGCTTTCCCATATTTCCCACCTTAGAGCGTTTTTCTGTTTGTATCTACCATTCAGGCTCGAGTTACCGCAGGTATTATCTGTAGGATACCACCAAGCCCCGAAGTCACGAGCGCAATTTTGTTTGGAAACGTCTTTATCCACTGTTGAAAATGGAGCCTTGTTATTTCTATCTAAAGAATCATCTGCATTTCCGTTAGAAAAAGAGGAAAAACAACAATATTAATAGGACCAAAGGGTAATTATTCTGGAACTGTCTTTCTTAATGCAGTCATACAGGGCTACCTTAAAACGTATGACGCGGACAGCCAGTAAAATTATCAGTAGTTTCCGCCATATGCAGAGTGGATCTTTAGTCGCCAGAGGTTAATTTCGCAAGATTACAAGTTGTTCTTTTTGGTGTTGATTTCAATATTAGTGGTTATTCATTCAGCGGCCCTGAACCTCTTCCTTCGTTTTTACGCCTTGTCATAGCGGAAATTCAAATAAAAACGTTATGAATTTGTCTCGCAAAGACAAATGCAAACAAAATATTTTCTAAGTCTCCTGAAGTAAGCGAGCCTTTTAAAACAAAATTGAAGTTGTTTTCTTGAATGAATTACCAGCTTCACCGTGGATATCAAAACAAAATAGGTCAAAAAGGGTATGAGGCTTTTTTGATTTCCATATCGGTTCCCGAGAAAATCTTTTTTTAAATGGCAAAACAGAATATTTTGGTTGTCGTCACGCACTGGGATGCCATAGGAAAAATATTTTGAATTTTGTAAAGCCTCACACCCTTTTGCGTGTCAATATCTGACAAACATTCGATCAACTTTAATAAAAATCCGACAAAACTACAAACCCTGTTTATTCGTTTAGGTAGAGATTACTCGGTTTAAAAAAATCTCGAGTTTTCAGATTCCGATAATACAATTGTATTATATTTCATTAAACCGCATGTCAACGCGGTCATCCCGCCATTTGTTGAAAAGCAACCTAACACTCATGGGGAATCATAAAACAAAGAAGGTCATTGAAATTCGTACGAAAGATTTTGTAAATAACTGTTCAATATATCAAATTTAGATACTTTCTATAACAATAGAGAAAACCTGAAAAAAACGAAGAAACAAATAAAACAAAACAAAACAAAAACAGAAACAAAAAAAAGGAGTTGAAAATTTCGATCAGATTATGTTGACAGTAACCCTAAGTGCAAGACTACTTTGAAATATTTCCTCATTTCTGTGGCGTAGCACTCCGATAAAAATTCGTCGAGGATATTTTTCAATGCAAAACATCAAGCTAATGAATTGTTTTAGATATTTCGTTTTCTATTAATCATAGTAATTATGAACTAACGAATAACTTACATTCGGGCATCCCTCCAATAATCAAAGCATAATTTTCCAATTCCGATTCAACGCGAAAGAAGTCGTACTCGGCGTGAGGACGATGAATAATGCTATTGAGATTATATTCCAGATCTACTCGAAGCCGGTTCGTTGTGTTCCTAGTAAGACGGTTTATTTTGTCCAGTCCTAGCCAAAACTCGCCACTCAAATCACCGAAACCTTGCTTGTAGTCACACCAGCTACGATGAAAATTGACAGAGCCGTCCAGTCTTCTCTGGATCACTGTCCATCCTCCAGCAGCTGCTGTCTGGTTACAATACACATCAAAGGCACCTAAACCATCAGGGTCAATTTTGTAGATACCGCTGGTATTTTGGCCAGTCACGTACAGTTCAGCGCAATTAGCTGTTGAGCAAACGGTGTTGGTGAGACGAAAAAGAAAACAATTCTAGAACATTTGTGGCTGAATAACTGAAAAAAAAGGAAAAATGAATTTCAAACGTAAAAACAAACTTAATATAGGGGTTTGTGATATAAAATATTGCAGAGAGTCTTACACGCTAAACACAAAAATATAAACCATCCTGTCAACTTCAAGTGCTGTAAGGCACTTACCTTTGAAACTTTGAGCCAAGGTCTGACTTGAAGAAATCCACGCTATAAGCAGCACACTGCAAAGAGAACTCGGTGAAAAGTAAAACATTGTGCGAAAATAAGATTCAGTTTACACTTGATATTCTGAGAGAATCGATATGTACACCGCGAAGATATGATGTAAAAATTGCAGCAGCCGAGTGCTTTTATACAAAGCTTTCGTCCTCCTGGACGGGAAATTTTTTTAGTTTAGTGTAAGCGAACTATTTTCGTATAACGCCCTGGACAATTTATAGCACCTAAATTACGATTTCAAGGATCTTTTTTAGTGACCGAAACTCAGAAACGTCATCCGGATAGCGTGGAGGAGGACAAAAAGCCACCCAGTTTCCTTCATGAACAATTGCTGCCGGATATTTAAACTTCTTTCCAACATACTAAATCGTTTCCTTTTCTTTTTTCTAGATTTGAGGACGAGCGAAAACAATTCCTAAGACTATTTCATCAACTTTGTTCATTCGCACGTTTACCAAACAGCGTCGATTTCTTTTCATAGAATAAAATTTTCACACAAAAACTTCTTCAGAAATCTTATTTGTAAGTAGTACCGAAATCAGATTCGAAAACATTACGTTTTACCACAAAAATGCTTCAATTTATTCCTTAGCGTCTCGAGGGTACCTTTGGACTTCCGGGACGAAAACGGTGAAAATAATTAAGCAGCAATAAATAACTTATGTTTAAAAAGAAAATAACTAAAGAGGTTTTCCTGTCTATATTCGTGGGAAACGGTCAAGTATAATCGTGTTCTAAAATAACGTAAAAGGTTTCCTTATTATCAAAGATAATTATTAAAAACAACATTCCTCGAATGGGAACTTTAGGAGTCTTACTAATAAGCGCTACCGACATCAGATTCGAAAACATTACGTTTTACCTTAAAAATGCCCCAATTTATTCCTTAGCGTAGCTAGGGCACTTTTGGACTTCCGGGAACGATGTTTGTCATTCAAAAAATTACTCATAAACGGAAATTTTTTATCTGTAGTTGTTTCGTTCCTTTGTATTTTGCACCTGCTTTACAGTGGTCTCTCACTACGCAAGCAGATTAATCAAGAAGCTGTCTTGCGTTAAAGCCTTTGTTGAGGATACCACGTAAAGCTCACTGATGTTTCAGAAATCCCAGTTGTAAGAGTGAGTTCCTTTTTTGTGTTTTTTTTT